TGGACTCTCCCACACTCACCAGGCGTTGCCTTTGGCAGGATGACAGGGAAGCAGTCACACTTCCTCTGAATTCTGCCTCACCTTACACACAGTTGTGACAGGTATTCAGTGTACACTCTTTTTTTCTTTTTTTTATTCCACATATCTATTTGACTGGGAAGCAAATTCTAAGTAAGTTTCAAAAAAGACTGGAATTGCCCACATAAAATGCTTGATGCTTTGAAATGGCTACAAAACAATAAAAAATAAAGTCAGTAAAATACCCCTACGTGCAGTTTTAATTGTTTTAATACATTCTTTTCATGCTCTATCTTCATTAGAATTATTAATTTCTGGAAAAAAATGGATTTCATTATACTCTGTAAGAATAAAGGAAGTCTTTCAAATTTGTTGTTAGGTTGAATATTAAATTTTAGGTCTGTGCATTAGAATTTTCATACAGCTCCAAAATTATCAAAATAATTACTTCTTGTCTATGCAAATATGCAGGGTTAGCTTTCATTCCTACCCTGTCATAAGAAATCCAAAATTCTAGGCAGTATAAAAAATGTGGCCTGAGTCCTATTGTCAATATTCACCTATTTCACTTTTTAAAACAGAATGTAATTTTGACAGACAACCCTTTAACCAGGAAAGTAGCTCTTACCATGTTGAATAATGAGCTGTGTAAATTTCAGCTGATGGGGATCTACTCTGTGCCTCGAACAGGACAAAAAGCTATTTCTAGTGGTTGTGACTTTTAATATTAATAATTTTAAATAACCCATAAACTGACATCATTCAGGGAAAATCTACTTTTTCTTTACCCTTAGTCTTGCCAAAAATGTCGTAGAAAACAGTATCAAATCATATTGTATTATGGCCATCACCATGACACTAGAATTTACATAGTATAGTGCATTTGTATTTATAGTTTTTACAGAGGGATATTTGGCCCTTGCTTTTATAGTTCTACTGTCCTGCAATTCATATCTTCCCAGATATCATATCTTACTCACCTTAGCAAGATCAGAAAAGTAAGGCCTGAACCTCTTTCACTGTAGACACGAAATGAGTGTAGGAGTTGAGAACGCGGCTGTGGTTGTGGTGTCTGTGCCTGCACATACCCATACACCATCCTGGACTGTGACAGGCAAGCAGGACACAAACATGGGTGAAAAACATACCTTTGATTTCTGGTCTGGGAGATTGTCTGTGACAGCCACAATACTGGCATAGAGCATCTCAAACCTTGGATTAGTCTCTGTTGCAGAATGTTGTTTGTACTTCCTGCAAAGAAAAGAAGAACTCTTCCTAATTTCACAAAATGCAAAGTAGGGCCAGTCACAGCCACCATTAGTAGGATCTCTTCGGGTTCTTATCTTTGTTGTTGTTGTTGTTTTTATTTTTATTTGTGAATATTAAAGCCACATTTTTTGTGAAAAAATTATGAATAATATTTGTAGAATTTCAGGTGTACCTTGGAATTCTTACTCATTTGTATTTTAAGGAGCCAAGTTTACTTCATCATTGTTGTGCAGTTTGAGTACCTGTATTCATAAGGTATACCTGCATGCCACTTTGATGAGTACTGCAAGGTTAGCAAGTACCCAACAGGAATTAAAAGGCATGTCCTTTATCAAAAGGGGTCAGTGATCATGGACTGCTTCATTGCTTATGGAAAATAAAGTAAATTTACATCAAATAAAAGTAAATACGAGTATCTAGTGGCTTTCCAAGCAAGTTTAAAGTGGGATTTGGAGAATTAAGTCTTAAGAAACTTGCTTGACATCTAACTTCAAACAAAAATTGAATATGTAAACATCTTCTTGCTACCAGGAAATCTATACAGCTACCAGGAAAGCTGGGTCCTATAGGATACATATATAGTTAATGTCTTAAGAGAGAAAGCTGAGCTGTTTAATCTTTGAGAAAATTGTACAACTTTTCAAAAAAAAAAAAAAATTTAAAAGGCTGAAAAGAAACCAGAAGGAAAAAAATAAAATAAAATAAATAAAATAAAATAAAATAAACACTTAATGTGATAATCCGTTAATAAAATTAAATTAGTTTTCATGGGTTTGTCTTACTGGTAAAATATTTGGGGGCACAAAAAATGTTTCATAAACACAATGAGATTTCTCATGTAAAATCTCTGTCCTTTCTTCAAGGGCCTGGCAAGAACACTGAGCTTTCTACCTAAATTTTACTTCTCAAAGTAAAAGACAGAACCTTCTAAAAGTAAAGCTGTCATTAATTACTTTTCTTGAAATGACACATCTCGATTTTACACAATTGTTTAATTAGACTTCACTCTTTCTTCCTTCTCATTTTGAATGGTATTTTTTATTCTGTGGACTTTGTTTTCACATTTCCATGAAAACAAAACATAAAATCAATTATGCTGAAGTTTTTATAGGCTTAATATTAGGGAAAGAGCAAAACACCTAATCCTGCTGTCAATAAAATGTATTAGTGTAATTCTCCATTTAGCATTTTGAGTAGGGTAAGTGACAGCAATCTCAATCTGAGAATAGGAAGAGCCATGTGGCTCCATTGCACGGGTGGCTGGTTTTATAATAGCTTAAAACAAAACAATCATGATCCTTAAACAGATTCAGATTACCACATGTAGATGGGCAAAGTAACCATGCACAGTGCTGGGGAGTTCCATGATTTTATCCACGTACTGGCCTGTTAGGAAAGCATGGCAAGGATTGCAGTTCATCAAGAAAGAGGAGAAATGTTTCCTCCAAGGAATCTCTAGATTCAGCAGGAGGTTCTCATGGTTTGTGTGGTTACTTGAGGTTAGGTTGTACTAATTACTATGTAATTAGTTCATACGTGCCTCTGATAAGAATGCCCTTGAAGGCAACCCTGGGCAGAACAGGACAGTGGATGGTGATGTGCCATACTTCTGTTTCAAATATGTAGACACTAGAAAAGATTGTAAGTCCACATTTTGGTAACAATATATGTGTGTGCATGGCCTGGCAAACCTCATGTGTATCCATATGAATACCAGATCTCTGAAAGGATCTTAAGTTGCTTGCTTTGGCTTTGCTACTTTGTTTTGATACTGAGCTGTCTATATGAATTGAAAGTGAGAAAATAGTTAATACAGTATCTAGCTCCGTTGTACACCCTTCCTGACTGATGACTTGCCTTCTTCTGGAACCCAGAATTACAGCAGAAACCAACTGGTATAACCTGCAGCTACAACTACTTGTTGGAGTTCTGCGTCTTTTCTGGGGAAATGTATTTTTCATTAATACTAATGTTCAGGCTCAGGAAAAAAATGTATCTAAGGAAGTGTGTTGTATACAGAACTTTAGGCTACTGCTCTTCTTGATGATACTCATCTGTTTTCCTACAGAGAATCATGTGAATTGTTACCTATCATTGCATCCCTGCGTTCATCTCCAAATGCTTATGGGTGTGTTACAAACCACTTAAAGGAATTCACTGCCCAGACTAGGCAGTTTCCTCTGTTACAACAATATATTTTTCCTACTCTGTCTTTTCATTTGATAAGTGCTAATAGAGAGATTCTTACCTAGTGCTTTTAAAATGCTTACTGATCTACACAGACAGGAAAAGTAAACAACAGTTAAGAGATTGCTCTGATAGATAAAACAGTCTCTCAGGAGGCATTCATAACATCGACACCAACGCTGAGTTATTCTCTCTCAGGAGCACCATTAGCAGTCATTTTATCACCACCAAGTGTGTATGCAATTCTGTAACATCAGTACCAAGGCTGGGCACTTCTCCTGCCCAGAGGTTAAACTATAGGCAAAACCACTTCACTGTTGAAAAGAAAGTAGAAAGTGTTAGAAAGTGTTAGTAGAAAGACTCAAGTGTTAAACTTGCAGTTTAAAGTCCCATTACTATGGACACTTACAGATAACAAAATTAAGGGAGTAGTGTATTAACTTATTTTAATTGTATACATAGAGACAGCTTGTGTCTTATTTTTTGGTTTGATTAATATTTTATATTGGTTTGAGTCTGAGTTAGCCACAAAAGTAATAGTTTTGAGGGCACAGTGTCACTATAGATATAATTTGGATGTGAACTGTGAGTGGGATGCTATTTGAAGACAAATGTAATCTTTGTAAGAGTAAATAAGTAAATAGTATTCAGACATTGGAACAGATTTTTTATGGTTTTACTTTTTTTACAGTTTGTTAAAAAGAATAGGGAAAATCAAAAATATGTACAGAAAAAGTTCTTAAAATAAAAAGAAAATTAGGGAAAATGTACCAATACTGAAACACAAAATAAATTCTTAGGTATTAATTCAGTCAAGAGAAGACCGAGAAGTTACTTGACTACAGCCTTCAGGTACCTACAGGCAAAAAGGATTTTTGACAGTTAAGAGCTCTCTAATTCAGGAGTAAGGAACGTGTAATTAGCTGAAGCCAAGAATTCCAGTCTGTTCCCCCCTCATGAAATTAACAATGAGAGCTTTAAACCATTGGAGCAATCTCTGTCTGTCAGAAAGATATCCAGTGTCTCATAAAGAAGCTACAGAGGTTGATAGATAACATTTTGAGACCATGCAGGAGGTTAGACTAGACAATAATATATAGCTTTTTCTGCCCTTAATAACTATTTCTGAATTTAAAAATCTATGAATAAGGTCAACAGAATCTGCCCCTCAGTCATATATATTTTATCATTTAATTACATTTCCGTTTGAGGATTATAATTCAGTTCTCTTATGACTTCATCTCAGAAACTTTTCTGCATGGTCTCAGAAATAGAGTCTTTCTTATTCTCATGATTAAACTTTCCATCAAAGAAAAGCTCTTCAGCTTGTGACTCTGCATTAGCATGTGAAAAATTTAAATAAACAACATTTTGGTTTCTTTGTTATGAGTGAACACAGCAATGATACAGCACGCTAAGTGTTAATATCTGTTATAGCCCTTGAGCTATACAATTGTGTGGTTTTGTTTTGATCATGCTTGATAGGCTGTGTCTTGACTAGGTCTTGTTTCATTCTATTTCTACAGGTTAGTGAGACTTTAATCAAGAAAAAAAAAATCTAATGAACAGCAATTGGAAACACAGCATTTGGAAAGGTCAAAATGGTACATTACATCCTTATTATCCAAAAGAACAGATGAGTTTAATATCCTGGCAGCATTTTCCTGTGAAGAAGATATTAAACAAGAACTGAAAATGGCACAAGGTTCCCTCTTCCTTTCCTATGACAAAGATTGTAACAAGATGATGAAACTATACAGAATAAATCTCTTTCTGCTTTAATGATCAGGCTGTGGATTCTGTCTAGATTTCAGAAACCTAAGCCAACCAAGGAGTCAACACGTGCCATTTGTCTCAGGTCATTTACAACACGTTGTTCTGCTTATATGACCCATTTTCCATTAATATTTTCTAATCTTAAACATGGGAGGATATGTTAACAGAAGGTACACAGTACAGTAAGTTTTGCCACATACATGAACTGCAACAAAAAATGCACTGCATCAGCACTGCTGAAAAAGTCATTTTTTCAGCTTCTGTTTGAATAATCTAACAACAGAGATAATGTATTCCAGTACACAGCACATTGCATGTGTCCTGCTTTGGAAATTCCCTGAAGTATGGAACTATTTGAAGGCAAAGGAATTTGTAGTATATCCCATAGGTTATTAACAATTCAATTAATATAAGAACTGTCAGAATATGCTAGCTTAAATCACTATCTGCATGAAGACTCTTCCTTTTATAAGTATAAGGGGAGAAAAAACCTTCTGGAACTGAGTGTTGTATTTTAATGCTAAAAAACATCACCAGGGTCCTCATGTTAAATGTTATTATAGCAACTGAACAAATCCTGTGCTCAAAAAAAAAAAAAAATTGAGTATATGATATGCACCTGGATTAGTATTATTACATAAGCATGTGACAAGATAGATATTAAAGATATTAATAATTTTTAAAGAAAACATTTTATATTATTTCAAAAGATAGAAGAAGGCTTGAAGTATTGATGGCTGAAGTAGACCTACATGGATTTGCACAAGCTCACATTTAGAAATCATGCCAAACCTCTTTTTTCCATACTATCTAGAGAATATGTTTGAAAAAAAAACTTCTCCATGGTACATTACATGCAGCATCTTGCTGAGAAGAGCTATTCTGCTTTGGTCAAGAGAGAGAAAATGAGCATATCCAAAATATGTTTTCAGTATCTCAAGTGAATGTATATGTATGTATGTATATACTTGATCTTTTTCTTTTCCTTAGGTGATTTTATTTTTCACTGAAGACTTCATTTGTTTTGCAACCATAAAGTAGAATACTTTTTCAGTACACTGGCAATGTGCAACCTATTTTGAAACTTCAAAGGATTTTGCAAAACTAGAGACAAAAATCCCTAATGGGTGTTCATTTCTTAAATGTCTACCAAAATTAATGTTTTCTGTGTGTCTAGAAAAAATGCACTAGATACATGTTTCTATCAAGTTCTTTGTGATTTTGCTAATAGTCCTTGAAACAGGAATGACTACAAATAGCTCTTTTCTGCTTCCTAACCAAATATATCGACCATCAAATACGCAGCCCACAAAAAATAATAAAACTGGTTTTTCAGTTCCTAATTATTATTCACAATATAAATATCTGAATTTTTACTGATTTGAATTACTAAGAACTCTGACCATATATATTTTTACTATGAAAAAATAAAATATATCCTGTTGTATCCATTTTTTTAAAAGGTCATGTTTAGGGAATGACTAAGTAGGGAATCTAGGGTGTTGAGGGAGAGACTCAATGTGTAGTCATACAAGCAACTCCAGGCTTTCTCACAGAGTGAGTCCAGTGTATCAGATGAAAGCAGTGGGCTTTGTTACACTCTTTTCAGTTCACTCTTGATTATGCAAAATGGTTTTACTGTGTCACATGCTATTTAACATGGGGAAGACCTTGAACACGTTATATGTCCTTATTTACTTATTCTGTGAAACGGATTTTTTTCCCACTAGGTGATCACAGACGTTCTTTTTTAAAAAAACTACCAGAATAATCAAGTACATCTTTTGAACCAATACAGCAGTTTGGCGATGAACTTTAGGACACACTTCCTTTCTTCATTTACCTTCAATAACTAATGTGGTTGTTGGGCATTTCCATCAAGTCTTTCTTCAGTGAGGAGGGTGAAAAGTAGGAGTTGTGTGTAAAATATTGGGCCTGTGAACCATGAGAACTTCTCAAAGGAAAGTATCTCTGAAGTATATTCATTAAATTGACAGCAGATGAAAAAAAAGATGTGGCTGATGGAAAGGTGTCATACTGAAGCAAGACCACATAAGAGACACATCAAAGCATAACAGACCATGTGCAGCGCACACATTCCCACACGTAGGATTTTGCACCAGAATTTGCTCTTTCATTGTAATCCCAATAATAGGGATACTCAGATGCTGTGAAATATGGCTTAAAATACCATTGATTGCAGCTAACACTATAGAGAAAAAGAGGCTAGCACAGATAATCTTACATCCCTTCAGTTGCTGGGACACTGGAGTTACACTCCATCAAATGGGCCTCCATGCAGGGCTCAGCATCCTGTGCAGATCTTGTCCACGTAAAGATTACCCAGGTATTTCAGTCTTTGGAGCTCCTGTAAGGTTTTCCTAAAACAAAATAACTGCATTAATCATTTTCACTGTCAAATAAAAAGGATACACACGTGGGAATTTGTTGCTCCTGTTTTAGATAAAGGCAAGGAGGTACAGTTGGTGAGACCCAGTGGCAGCTGCCCACAGGCTACTTCATTGTAATTATCCAGCCAAGTTTATCCTGGGGACAGAGGATGTGCACAGCACAGTGAAGACCTGAAGGTCATGTTGTGTGCATAGCACAGTACAGGCCTATGCCTGTTCAGGGCAATGACTGTTTGGGTCACTAACTCCCCCAGGAACAGTGGTTTTCTGGTCACAATCTCTGCACATATATGCAGACAAACCTGGGTCTCATCTGCATATAAAAAGTTGGTTTTGTGCTCCAGACTGAACTGATGCGTAGTATTCAAATTTGCACACATTAAAAACTACATTTCCATTGCAAACACTCCTCTCTACAGGTCCCTGTCCGTCAAGCTGGCATTATGCAGGAAGTCAGATAGGTTTATAATTACAGAATTTATACCTCCAATGCCAATAAAAGGCAATGTAAGTACATTTTTGCAAGTGTGATTATTTTTGCCTGCAGCTCAGATTCTTGTTATACTTGCATTTGAATTTGTTTTGTTTTGTCACACAATGTTACTTGGCATTATATGAATAAATAATCCATGAGCTAGAAAACACAGTAAAAGCAAAGAAATTAAGTCAGTTGCATTATTAAAGAGAGATTAAAATAATTTGACATGAAAAGCTTTTTAGATACAATACAGCCTGCCTGATTTACTGATGTGCACAGAAGCCAATACATCATTCAGCCCTGCTACCACCTGACAGCTGCTCAGCATCTAATGGGAAATGGGAGGGTGGTCACAGTCCAGTTCATAGTGGACAGGTGCTGGCATCACAAAAATCATCATCACAACTGGCACTAATTGGCACCTTTGTTGACAGTCTTGGCAGAGAGGCCAGTGATTGAATCAGGATGGAGACTGCCTTGCAAGCTCTGCTTGCTTGGGATGCTGGGCTCAGCTCATCCTTCATTGAAACCATCCTCAGTTTTGCACATATGTCACAGGAACACAGTCAGGTCCTGACACTCAGTTTGACTGTAATTTCTGTGAGCATGCATATTGCTGTGGTACATTTCAGGCAGCAATGCCTCCAGACAGAAGGTTAGATACATCTCAGGGACACCAAAGCCTGCTCACTTATGCTGGCCAGCAGAAGAACCTCTGGACTTAGGCTTGGGGTAGAAGAAGACAAAAGGGGATGAAACCAAATGCTGTTCCAAAGGAGAAGCTACACGTGATCCACATGGAGCTCCAATTTCATCCAAGATTTTCTCAATTTTAATGTGTTCCTGTGGACTTCTAGTAGCCACTTTTACTCTGTGCCTCAATTCATTCTTTTTTATGAAGGTCATATTATTTGTCTCACTCTCAGTCTGTAATACGAGGTTTTGCTAACTAACTTATGCCTTAAAGTATTTAAACACCTCTGACAGAAGTCAATAGATATATTAAAATTCAGAATTCAAATTTATAGGAACTTTTGTTTCTTAATAATCCTGTTAAATGAGTTGCAGGCAGTCACTATTGAATATATTCATTTTGCATTTTCTCATCTTTCCATTCACTCTGTTGAATGTTAAATAGTTTCTTTTTTTTTTTTTTTTTTTTTTGGTATATAGAAACCTGTACTGTTTGTGGGTTAATTATCAATTTTGGCTCATTAGTACCTTTTTCCAAAGTAAAGAAAGAAAGGCAGGCAGATAGGAAGGAAAGGAAGGAAAGGAAAAGAAAAAGTAGGGAGGCTGGATAACAGAAAAGAAAGAACAACTCCAGTTTATGTGTATTGAAAAAATGTTGAATTTGTTGCACATGGCTTGTCAGTATAGAGATAAAAGTGAAAAAGCTAAACTGGAAAAGTGATACGTGTAGTGAGGTAAAAGAAATCATAAAGCACCAAAAAAATTATGTGAAAACACTGAGGTTTGTCTCTGTGTATCATTGTGCCTGAGGCCTACCTTCGTTAGGAACAATAAGGTTATAAAATACTATGAGCACTTACAGAGGCTTAAATTGCCACCAAGCCAGATTCTGATTTCTCCCTATTGATTTTTCACTTCTGTGTTACATCTGATTCCAAGGAAATGTCATCTCATTTACATGCATCTACATAAATTCAGGATCAAGCCACCAGCTTTTTCTTTCTTTCCTGTTAATAACGAGCAGTGGCTGCTATACTGTGTTCCTACAGATACTCTGGAAACAGAATATGTCATCGTTAGCCTAATGAGGGGAAAGAGGGAGAGAGATTGCTAAATGTTTTCTCTCTAGCCCAATTAAAGGAGAGAGAGCAAGACGAAGAGAGAGCTGTGTACGTGACAGATTTCTTCCTGCCTTTGGCTACAAGAGCATTCTCATTAGGTAGAACTGAAAAAGACAGGGGGATGTGGGAATACAGAGGAGAAATCCTTTGACTGAAGTCAGACTGTGGCAGCACGGACCATCAGTCAGAGCTGCACATTACTGTGCAAAAATAGCTTGCTTGTGAAGGAAAGAATATGATAACAAGTATGCTATTGCCATTACTGTTCTTAAGACAAATTATCCATACAAATAGGAAGGAGCA